CTCCGTCTCTAGACCGTGCAGCACAACCTTGTCTTTTCTAACAATAGTTCTATGGTTGATTTGAAAAGAAAACTTATTTATAAAGTTCTTTGCACAAAGTCCCTCTCTCATATAAAGATTTCAGTGATTACATTTTCAGTACTTTCCAAAAGAAACAAGCTGGCGCTGGTCACACCCACCCATCCCCCACTCACGCCGGGGACACACAGGCCGCGGAAGCGCCGCGAAAATGGGACCGCCTTCATTCGGTGCCCTTGTTAAGCTATTCTATAGACCACATGGGCCGCCGAGGGGCCACGAATCGCCTCGCGCCAGCGCTCCAGCCCACGCCGTGCAGCGATCGTTTTGGCATCTGCTCTATTTTTTTCGCGAGCCGCGGGTGAATCGCGTCAATTCTGGCAGGAAGTCAAACCTAGACATAAGAGGCAGGCCGGTAAATTTAACAAAATAAAGCATTTCAAAATAAAATTCCGCAATAGTCAAACTGTTCGTAATCAGACACTGCAGAAAAACCACATGAACACACACACACATACACAAACATCGAACTTGTGTGCGTGTGTGACCACGTGAAGGGGGTGTGGTTTGGGGTGTCTTTTTTCCGGAGGAAACACGACAGAGAGTCAGAAGGTCTGAGGCAAGCAGTTAAGATGGATGACTTTAAATTAATTATGGAAGTTGAGAAACACAAGGAGCTGTACGACCCCCGAAAAACATGATTATTTACGTACCCATTTCGGAAGAAACTGCTAGGATACAGCTGCAGAATTGGAGCGGGTTCCAAGAGATTCAACTGGCAGAAACAACTGGTTCATACCATAGGTTCAAACACACACACACACACACACACGTACAAACACTCAAACGTAGAGGAAAAGAGCTGATAAAAGGCAGAGAGGAAATGGAGGACACCAAGTGGTTAAAAGAAAAACTACAGCTGAGCCGAGGCGCGCCTCGACTGGGGCGCGTCTGATCTGAACTGAGGAGCGGCCGAATTTTGTGAGCGATTCGCTTCGCGGCGCTTCCGCGGCGCTTCCGTGGCCGGTGTGTCCCCGGCGTCAGGCTGCCATCGACCCTTTTCACGTGACGCAACCCTACTCATGGAAATGCCTTTTCTGCCATGATGGATGTCAAAGAATCTACCTGCATGTATTAAAACTCCTATGCAGCTAATCCCTAATTAGTTATTCTGTAGCCTGAAAATGCTGGATATCAGATAACTATAAACTGTATCGTGTGAATTCCAGCAACACACCAACAGGGAGACAGTAAGGATTGGATTCTAAACTAGCTAAGTCTAACTTTTATAAATAAGATACTTTATGAGCCCCAACTAAGTTTGCCACTTCCTCCAACAAGTGAACTGGGCTTGAACTAGTCATACTAAACTGGAAATAATTTAAGGTAATGCCCATAATCCCTCCGTTCAGTACTGCCGTAACTCGGTCTTGATGTGACGTGACCAGATATATAGGTATCTATAGATGAAAAGGGTCAATGGGCTGAGAAGCTCTGATATCTGGGAAGGGCTCAGAGTAGAGCCGCTGCTCCTCCAGCAGCAGCAGTGGCTCTACTCCAGGTGAGAGTTGTTTCTATTCTTATGTCCTTATTTGTGACATCACAAACGGAGACTTTTTTTAGGCGCATAATTCTATAAATAGAGTTTATAGAGTCAGAGACCCACATGGCAGCACAAAAATATGCAAACGGTGAGTTTTGCATAATGTGCCCCTGTAATGATTTTTGGCTTTGGCTGATTTCACTGAGGTAAAGTTTCACCTAAAGTCTGCACACTTTCATGAGATTTTATCTCCTGGTTTGTCTCTCCAAATCCAACCCTTTTGGACAATAAATACAATAAAGTACAATAAAATATGGTAAAAAATGAATGTTTTTTATGTTTTCAATAAGAGCCAAAGTGAAGACTGCTAAGGCTATAGAGTGATTTTACGTTAAACACTTTATTAATGACAGCAAGAAGCTTATGAGGTGACATAAAACCCCGCTCTAAAGAACAGGAACACCATCGTGAATGTAAGCAGACGGATCAAAGCGCCTATGAAACTGGGTTAAGGTAAGTGACAGGTGAGCTGAGGACCGGTTACAGGTGCAATCACACTGATCACAAATAAATAAATAATAAATCTGTCCATGCAATTACTAGCGCAGCTCAATGCCTCAAACCCAGAGTCTCTCTGGAAGTTTCCATGATCCCACTCACTGGGGTGATTTGGCAGAAGCCACCTAGAGTTGGCTGTCAGCTGACCGCTGCGGGGGTTTGTGTTTACCCAGCCTGCCTGTCTGTGAACATCCAGCACATCTCAAACACCACCATCCAACAGCCCACCTGCCCAAATTTCTGATACGAGTTTCTTCTGCGAGAGAAACGGTTCCGACTCGTCAGAAGCAGCAACTGGTCCCATCTTTGGGGTTCACTTTGACGTTTTGGTGGAGCTACAGCAGGAGGAAATGTGGCTCCTCCCTGCTCTGTTGCATCACCTAGTAACTAATTTCCACCCGTCTCCTTCAGTCACCCAAACACACCGTACTGTGCGCCTCTCGGTGCTCCAGACTGCCTGTCTGCAGGGGGTTTCCATGCAACTATCCAATTCCAAAACAGACACCTGCACTGATTCACCCGCTGCCTCTGACGCAGACTTTCTGCCAGGAGGAGAAAAAGGGAAAAGGGACTCTGTTCAGAGAAAAACAACTTCTTAGAAGACAGAGCGAAGGGAGAAAAAAGGGGGAGCTGATGATGCATGTTGATTTTGTTTATTTTACTGGCAGAAAGAAGAAGTATTACAGCTCTGTTTTAGTGGTTGGACTGGACGCCAGTCACAATTTCTAAGATACACCATCGAGGTTTATGGATGCCTTGAATAGGAAGATAAATAATCTTTCAGTTGACCTAAATACTGTAGAAGAGAAGAGTTTCAGCTCTGATGCCACATCAACTGTGACATTTTGGGTTTTTTTAAAGGACACTTAAGCCACAGACTCTGCTTTAAAGCAATGCTAAAGATGTTTTAGCACTTTAAGCTATCACTTTAAAACTGGTTTTAAGGGTTCTTGAGCCAGAAATTTTACTTTCGACAACTCTTTGCTGCCCTCTGCTGACCAGAAACTGCACTAGTTTTAAGGTTCAGGTAAGATTACTAAGGGGAGGTCTCTTCCTGCTTCTTAGCAATACCTGTTTACACTGTCAGTAGCTCATATGAAGGTTAGCAGTTAGTTTATTCAGTTCGCCGACCGTTAAATAAAAGAACAGGAAGAAATTTTATTTTTGCTTTTTTGTAGACATCATGGAAGTAAAAGTCGGAAAATAATGTCTTTGGAGGCTAAACAAATAGCTAAAACCAGAGTGAACATCGCTAGTTTCAGGGAGCTAAAAGATGCTACAAAATCATGGCCTGATAGTGACCTGGCTTTGTTGCTACTGGACTTGTAAGTAATAAGGTTTGTTCAACAGAGTGGATCTTTTTACTTGGTGGCTTATTTTAATTAGGTCATGTTAGTGTTAGCTCATTGTTAGCGCTAGCTACTCCAGGCTGCTGCAATATTGTTTACAAAACAAACCCTTTTGGTGATACTTTAAATTAATCCTAGACAAGATTACTTGTCATTTCTGATTCGTATATGTGACCAAAATCAAAATGAAAGCACCAGATTGAATTGAGAAGGTTTTTTAATAAAGAGAGGCCCATATCTGACCACTCTAGTGACCTGATTTGTGCCTTGTCAGGTGCAGAGAGGTGTGAATGTATCCAGGCTCTGAGCTTTACTGCTCTGACTCATCACACAACCGCTCTCATCGTCAAGCAATGAAAGCCGTCTCCTCCAAACCACAACTGCTTATACCATGTGAGATTTTCACTCTTCACTGTGATTTACTCCCACGCTTGAGAAAATCTAAAAATATTCCCATGTTCAGTCAGCACCTTAAAGAAAAGTGAATTTTCTAACATTTTAAGGGAATTTCATGCATTAAATTAATTTATTTTGAGGTGAAAACGTCACGGCAGCAGCTTCAGGGCAAATTCAAACATGTTGTAGAAAAACATAACTCCTCTTTTTAGTCATTCTTTTTGCCAAAAAATGTTTTTCAAATTAGAAATATTTTTTAAAAACTTTTGAAGCCTAATGTAGAAGACGATTGATTGACTCTATATGAAATTAATTTTAAAAAATACAATTTCACTTTTCAAATTATGAATTTGATCAATTAAATCATATTCCATAGTAGATATAAATATTTCTAATATTCCAGAAATATTAAAGCAAAACTTTATTAGTCTCTTACATCATCCTGTGGTTATTTTGGCTCATTCTTCTAAGTAACCGCTGTTTAACATTTCAATTTCATACTTTTTCACTTAAAACATGCATTTTTGTAAAGAATAACTCTTAATTAGACATATTTAATGATTGTTGCGATGACACCATGCTTTAAGAATACAATTATACTATTTGATTGTCTGATAAACCACTTTTGGCAGCAAAGTGTGCCGCTGCATCCACATCAGTCATCAGTTGTACTCTAACGTGCGTTGTGTGTGTCCATTCATATATACACAACCATATATTGCTGTGACCCCAGAGAAAAAGGGACTTGAGCTTGTTGTGAAACACCGCCCTCTGGTGGAAAGATGAACCATTTATTTTGTTTAAAGAGTAACTTTGGGTTTTTAATCTTTTAAGCATCTTCTTCTATTTTCTGTTTCATCCACGTTTGGATTAAAAGCTGGAAAATGCATCTATTTTCTTTTTCTAAATCAAAAAGATAATTTTAGTTAGATTTTCAAAGTTTTCTTTGTGTCCAAATTTCCGATTAATCCTAAATTAATTTAGCGCTAAACACCTCATATGGTGGTTTGCGGACCCTAAAACTTAATTATAACAGCAAAGGCTGCGACTTAATTTAACTTTTACAATTGAAATTCACATGAAATACTTTGGTGTTTATTTTCTGTCAAACTTGGTTGCAAAAAGCAAACTAAAGCTTTTGAGTTTAGTTGGTTTTATTTACTTGTGCAAAAATCAACATCAGCAGAATATCACATTACAAGGACACATCAGGAAAAACTCATTGGGCTTTTAGAAACAATATGGGAACACATTCAGACGTCTGATATGATCATTTTAAATGTATTTTTAATTAAATAAACATGGCATTTTCCATTCTGTCAGTAGAGATTCAAATCCTGCTTCCATTTGGTTTTATATATGTCCGTGCCCAGACTGTTGCGCTTTGAGGTTTTTGGGACATGAATGGTGCGTTCAGGTGCAGTCATGGTGGCTGCACAAATAAACTGCACATTTTTATGAAGCAAGAAGCAATTGCACCTCTATTTTCTAGTGTAAGGTATACTAAAGCTGCAAATGTATCCCATGTCTGTTGATGCTCACTCGCCAGTTCTAATAAATCTGACTGAAAAGACGATGGAACATTTAAATCCATTCATTTTGGAGCAAAATGCATAAGTTCAGATGATTAAATGTTCATTTTGTGCAACGAGCAACACAGGAAACGACTGTGGTTTGTTCTGTTACATATTTAGGATGTTTAATATTCGGTCGGCTCGTCCCTCAGCTAAAAGAAGTCAGCCTCTTCTTCATGTAGAGAAAGCCGAGGTAAGTCGCTCCCCCGAGAAGGCCGATCAGCAGAGTTGAACCCACGATGACCGGGGCGTTCTTTCTGGCCACTCGAAACGCCACGGGGAGGACAGCAGAGATCAGGATGTTGTTAACGTGACCCAGAACTCTCCTGAAGGCCGGTCGCTCCACCACCCGCTCATAGTACGTTTCCACGTTGACTCGGACGCCGTTGCCCCAGTAGCGACGGGAGAGGCCGAGGAACTTGAGGCGGTGAAGCAGGACGGCCAGGGAGACATCGGCCATGCTGAAGAAGTCCCCACAAAGCCAGGATGGGCTGCCTTCCTCTATAAGGAACAGAAAGTCACGTGATTTTTTTTTTCAGGTTTGATGCTGATGCTGTAGTCACGGGTTGCCATAGATACCTGGAGTTTCCTCCACCCTCCTCTGTAACTCTGTCTCCACCTGGTCCATCACACCTTCCAGCTCATCCAGAAGCTTCTTCAGGTACTTCATGTTGTCATGGTCAAACAACTTAGACTACGGACACATTTACACACCTTAAAATTATTCACAGAACACATTTATTACTTTTCTACATGTTTAATGAATTTTAGAAAAGATCAAGAAGGGCTTGAAACTTTCAGTTGAAATGGAAATAATGAACCCAATAAATCATAACAAAATTCAGTTTAATCACAAGTTTTTGTTTTTTCTTAGATTTATTCAGGAGTTCCAGTTTAAACATTTTACCAGGATGCAACCTCAGTTTTAAACCACAAAACACAACAGGTTTCTCCCCGTTTGGTGCTCTGCTAGCATACCTTTAAGCGCCTCCTTTTGGCTGTATAAGCATCTTTGAGCTCTGGGTTCTGCTCAGCCAGTTTCTCCAACTCTGATTGTGTGTTTCCGATCTGGGCTGCCAACAACAAGACACAAACGGCATTTGAGTAGAGCTAAAATGAGAAAACAGGCATTTCATTATTAAACATGCTAATTAAATCACCACGCCAGCTTGGCTGCGTCAACATGTTTATACCTTATAATATCCTTTGACCCCATTTGACTTTTAAAACACGCTAAAAATATTCAGATTTTAATTAAAAATGTTGGAAATAGAATCTGAACATGCAGGGAAATACAAAATGAGCAACAGTAGTTTTGCAATGCTTCTGCCGCAGAAACTAAGAAGCCTTACTTCTTATAGATGTGGCAGCATACGCGGGTATGTGGGAGTCCACTGTGATCTCAGGATGAAGGATGCAGCCGTGTGTGTAGGCGTCCATCGGTAGAGTGTCCAGCAGCTCCCTGTAGTGCTGCACTCTGAGATAATACCTGCTGTCTGCTTCAGGAACCAGCCTGGGAGTCCCCTCTGGAGATGCACAATCCAGGATATGACTGGTGTTGTTTAATGCTTTACTACACACACACACACACACACACACACACACACACACATATATATATATATATATATATATATATATATATATATATATATATATATATATATATATATATATGACTACTAGGTCACAGACAGTGAATTAAGCTCAGATCATGTTGTGTGCTCACCAGAGGTTCCTTCTTTTTGATGGTGACTTTTAAAACAAATTACAGATTCATGCAAAAGAAGAAAAATAAATCAAAAGAACAGGAAATAAAAGCACATGAACTCAAACCAAGAGAAAACCCGTAAAAATAAACTGAGATTTAAATAAATCTGATCTCACTGCGAGACAACCAGTCGCTTTGTTTACCCTTACCATCCTTAAAGTTTTCTTCCAGATAGTCCATTATCCGGGTCGGATCGCAGATGACGGTGTCATTGTGGACCAGAACCGGCACCTCTCCAGCAGGGTTCAGTTTCATGAACCATGGCTCGTTGTGTTCACTGAGAGGAAGGCTGACATCGTACTCCTCACAGCGCAAACCCTTCTCTGCTATGGCCAGACGAACCTGGTTTGTGATTAAAACAGGATTTTGAGGCTCTTTTATCTAAAACTGACTTAAAACTTTGTAAAAACGCAGATTTAACTGTATTTTTAGTGTAAGCGAGCAAAAAAGAAAATCTGTGTTTTGTTTTATAACGTAAGGCTAAAGAACGAAGATAAAGCCACCTTAATATTTGTATTCTTAATTACTGTGGAGCTGTCCAGCAAGCTGTGGTGCTGAAACGTCACACTCACCTTCTGAGAGTTAAAGGACTGCGTCCAGTGGTAAAGCTTAAATTCTGCTTTATTAACAACTGAAACCGTTCGTTCACGAATATTTTCCTCAGAGTTTGTTTGTATGAGAGCAGATTTTTCATCTTGAGGCTCAGAGATGTTTTCTGAAGCCATTTTAGCTGCAGGACACGTCACAACTCAGTCAACGGCGCTACCTGCTGGCTCGGAGGGGAAACACGAATCTTTCATTTGGTTCTAGGGCCACACGTGCTTGTTTCGTGGTGAAAAACTGTTTATTCTGATGTATATTTTTACTTCTGTTATTTAATTTTTACTCTTATTTGTAATTTTAATAATAGAATAACAGAAAACTATCTATGATACATTCATTCAATGTTTACTTTTGCAATACCAAATTGCTCAGTGCTATTAGGGCCAGCGTTTCTCATTGAAATTTTCACAATCAGTGACAATAACAATAGTTTATTCTGGTTCTGATTATTTTAAGTGACTCTTTTAAGTGATTTGTTCTGTAGAAACAACAAATTTCACAAATCTCAGAAACAAGAACTGGTGCAAAATGCTATTACACCTCTATGTTTAGAAAAGGATGTTTAAATCCATTTAGTTAGATAAAAGGTGTTGGAAGTAGCTGCAATAGAGGTTGTTACTTTTTTCTTAAAACCACATTTTCTCTCCTTTCCTGTCCTGAAAGGCGTCTGTTCGACCTCCTTTCTTCTGCAGACAAACCTAGGAACATAAGAGCAAAACAAACAGACTCAGATTTTGTTTCAAGTTGCAAATTCAAACTTAAAAAATACATTTTCTTCTGGTTATTTAAGAATTTGCTATAACTGTGTTCATGGATTGTAGAGTCTCAGTCTACAGTTGTTCATTTAAAATATCGAGATGTTAATCTAAGACAAAGCGATTATTAGATTTATTCAAGGAATTTTTTTTATTCGAACAAATTTCTGCATTTTTCTCCGCAATGACTGTGTTTGGACACCAGAGGTCGCTCTCTTCTCTTTGGTTTTGCTCTGAAGCGACCTAAATTCAATCTCTCAACAAAAAAAACGTGCTCATGTTAGTAGAGGTCAACATCTTCTCAGGTGATCTACCTGATGAATAAACTAAATCACTGCTATTATAAGACTTCAGTTGAAATTATGTCATTTTAAGAAGATTTTTCAATAAGTTTGCAAAGTAATGGGGATGGTTTTCATTAATGTGAGAAGTTAGGCAATTTAAAAAATACTCAGAAAAGTTAAAGAATCTAATCATACTCGTCTCATGGTTAAAAAATTCGTTTTTAAGATGTTTTTATATGGGAATGACATGATAATATCTGATAAGTCATTATCCATTATCATTATCCATTATCCATTATCCAAACAGGCAGAAGTTTGTAGCGGAGTTTACACTTGTGGGAGCAAGGCGCACCTTTAAAACGCGGTGTCTTATTTTGGTGGGGTTCACGAGGCGGGGGGGGGGGGGGGGGGGGGGGGGGGGCTCGGGGGGGAGAGGGGGAGGGAGGGGTCTCAGGCGTGACGTTGCAATTGGCCCACAGTCTCCTCTCCAGCAGGATCTCCCCTCTCTCCCTCCCTCTGTGATCAGTGGGTGAGAGGGGGGAGAAGAGCGACACACTCCGGAGCGCCTCCGGTAACCGACGCCCACCGATCGCACCTTGACTCCAGAACCGTTGTGTGTTGCATGTGGAACAATCTTCATCCTCCATGTTTTCTGCTCCTCTCTAGTCATCCTCATCATCATCCTCCTGCAGCCTGCCTGGTCCTGTCATCCCACCACCCCCCCTCCCCTCTCTCTCAAACACGCACACACACACACACGCACGCACGCACGCAGACTGGGTCCTGGGAGAACTGTCGGTCCTGGAGTCTCGCGCAGCACACCCGCTTGATTTCCAGCGTTTCATCTGAATGACGGGCGGACGGTTTGACTTCGACGACGGCGGCACTTACTGCGGGGGGTGGGAGGATGGCAAAGCCCACGGACACGGTATCTGTACCGGACCCAAGGGCCAGGGAGAGTACGCCGGGTCCTGGTCTCACGGCTTCGAGATAGTCGGCGTGTACACCTGGCCCAGCGGGAACACCTACAAGGGCTACTGGTCCCAGGGGAAGCGGCACGGGCTGGGTGTGGAGAATAAAGGCAAGTGGATCTACCGGGGGGAGTGGAGTCACGGGTTTAAGGGTCGCTACGGGGTTCGGCAGAGCCACAACACACCTGCTCGGTACGAGGGTACCTGGAGCAACGGGCTGCAGGATGGATATGGGGTCGAAACCTACTGCGATGGAGGTAAGCCGTCACAAATCAGTGCTTTATTTTAATGTGTGTGTCTCTTTAACTGTTATGTAGCTGCTGTGTAGGATGCAACAGAGGGAAGATCATATTAAGACCTCTGGTAGGAGCGGCAGAGACTGAAACCCTCATATGTAGCAAGTGACAAGACCCTCTTTTTGGTTTATTTCACGAGGATTCGGTTCTTTTATAGTTTATTCCTTGGCGCATCGGATTTGGCAACTACCGGTTGCTTGTGCTACTGGGAGGGATGAGACTCCTCCTCGGTGGCACCAAGCCTGATGAAGAGTTTGGAAATCAAAGCAAATGAGTCCATTTATAGCTCAGCAGCTCAGTCAGAACATCACCTATTTCTCTAACTTTTGGATGTGCGACACCGTGGATGTAGAAGCGGTCAGGTACCTGCAGAGGTCCCTGATTACATTAGGGAGTAGGGACAGTTGCTTTCCTCTTTTCTGATCGTGTAATCCAGTATTTAGGAGCTGAAATACTCCCAAACTGATCTAAGCATTCAGGCGCTTTAAGTAGAGGTCTACCCATGTGGGGTTCCTTTGTTAAGGAATCCGGGTGGGTGACCAGTGATGGAGCTATGTTGCAATTTTCTTCATCTTTTATCCAATAAGTCTGCTAAATTGATCCGTCTGGCCAGTTCATTGATCCTTATCCAACTTTAAGTCTAAAAACGACTCTGTTCAAATACTTTTATGTGAGCTAACCCTGACCCTAACCCTAGCTCTAGCCCAGGCAAAATAAAATCAGCGCTTGAATGAGACCTTTTGATTTATATACGGTCTTATCTAGTTCTAAAATGCCATTTCCTCTAACTGAGGCCTTATGGTGCTGAATAAATGCCTCACATATGATGGTTACAGATTGCTGGGCTTGGCAAATCAGCTGATCCTAGAGGATCTACTCAACATCTGGCTGTCTGGCCCTGCTGCATCCTGATAACTTGATCTGCAGGGTCACCAAATTGGACCTCAGCGCACAGCCAGCCTGTTAATCTTACACTGTTTATCCATCAAAATTCCTGCCTATAAGCTAGCATGTAATTTTTTCTCCTTTTTTTTATACTGAGTGGTACCGTTAAGGCTTATTTCATTGTGTCTAAATGAGATCATAACGAGAGCCTCTCATTGTGAGGATCAGGAATGAAGAAGCTAGGGTAGAGCAGCAACATGCTCGATGGGCTCAGCAGCACCAAAGAGGATTAATGAAGTATTCCTCTCATTAAGTGACTGATAGCAAATTCCCCTTCGTCTGAGAGAGAAACGGTTAGTGGTGAACTGGTCTTAAAATAGCCTCCTAGCTAAGAGATTCATATTCATCCCAAATGATTCCCAGGATGTTAATCAAATCTGGGGGATGGAGTTAGCTGTGCTTACCGTCACAGATCTAAGTCAGACAGAGAGCTTGTTGTTAGTTAATGCAGACCTCACCCATCATCAAACCTCCTAAATATTTTTAGCGTTGGTGCAAGTGATTCCTCTTAAATCATGTTTTTGGACAAGTTAGAAGACCAGTGGATCCATAAGTCACCCTAGGATAGTACTAGACTAGGCAAGACAGTACAGTCAATGCCTCTTTGTGGAATTCATTACAGAAGAAGTTAAAATCTAATTTAGTTTGTCTGATCACCACTATTACATTTCTAGTATCCTTTCCAAAGACATGCCAAAATAGAATACGTTTCAATGTTTCCCCAAGAAATTGTTCAGTCCTGACAATGGTATTCCACTGTGTGTCCGTTCATCTGCCTTGGTAAACCTGGAAGAAAACAAGTACCCTTTGATGTTACTTAAATGGAGCGTGAAGTAAAACCACTGGCAATCATTTCCATCTTACATGTTGATGCCCGTTTTGCAGGTACCTATCAAGGTCAGTGGATGGGTGGGATGCGCCATGGTTATGGAGTTCGTCAGAGCGTTCCTTACGGGATGGCCACCGTAATCCGCTCTCCCCTCCGTACATCCATGGCCTCCCTCCGCTCTGAGCAGAGCAATGGCACGGTGCTCCACGACCTCTCCTCCCCGACAGACACGCCAACAGGCAGCCGCGGTGGCTTCGTCCTGAACTTCCATTCAGACAGCGAGGTTGTCACTGGCAAGAAGAAAGGCCTGTTTCGCAGGGGCTCGTTGTTTGGTAGCCTCCGACAGCTGCGCAAGTCCGACTCTCGGACCTCCATTTCCAGCAAACGCAGCTCGGCAAGAAGCGACGCAACCATGAGCCGCATCAGCTCCAGCGACGCCAACTCCACCATATCCATCGGTGACGGTGAGCTGCCAGATGAGGACCTACCCCTGGAGGACCATGTGGACGCAACCACAACCGAGACCTACATGGGCGAGTGGAAGAATGACAAGCGGAATGGATTTGGTGTTTCGGAGAGATCCAATGGGATGAAATACGAGGGAGAATGGCTTAACAACAAGCGCCACGGTTATGGGTGCACAGTTTTCCCAGATGCCACCAAAGAAGAAGGGAAGTACAAAAATAATGTGCTGGTTCGTGGAATAAGGAAGCAGCTGATCCCTCTTAAGAACCCCAAAACCAAAGAGAAGGTGGATCGGGCTGTGGAGGGGGCACAGAGGGCTGCAGCCATTGCCAGGAGTAAAGTGGAAATAGCAGCTTCCAGGTAATGTTGTGACTGTGTGAATGTTCATTCATCCTTCTCTACGTGTATGTGGGCCTATGAACACACATCAACGGCAGGGTCACATCTTCAGGCATTTTGTGTCACCACTGCTGTATTAATGTGACCTTTATACATCAACAGTCAACATCTTTATGTTGCCATCATCTCTGGAAGAGGATCAGTTTCTATTCCTTGCACCCAGACGAGAGGGTGGTGATTGGTGTGTCTGTGAGCTGTATACCTGTGCCAGTTATGTATCTCTTTGATGTGCTCTTTAACAGGTGAATGAGGTGTGACCTTTAAACCCCCCCTCCCCTCTTTCCTGCTGGGGTGCACAGCATTGCTGTGGCGTCCTCTGGTTTCATTGCGTCAGGGAATTGTTAGAGTGATGATGACGGAACGGGTACACGCTCTGAAAAGGTTTTGATGCAATCATGAATGGTTGGTTTTATTCTGGTGCACATAAATTTACATTCACAAATCTGTCAGCTAATATTTATGAAATTCAAAAGCCCAAACATGCGTAATGCAATCAGTTTTGAGTCGTTGAAAGAAACATAATCCGAGGGTCGTTCTAAAACGCTGGTGGTTCTGTAGGGTTATTTTGCACAGGTCAGCATCGCTGAAAGGCCAAGCTACACGAGAAACAATTTTTTACTTGTTACTTTTTAAATATGGTCAGTCACTCTGAGTTTAACATGCAGGCTGAATGTAAAAATAGTCTTCTACCCCAATTTCCTGCAATAGATGGGGAAATGCTCGGATTAGAAAAGGATAATCAGATCTATGAAACTATGAAGTAGCATTCATGGACTCACCCATCTTGGCTCACAATGAGGATTACTGTTGTTGATTTAGCAACCAGGAGAGAGTAGAGCACGTTTCAGATAGTAGAAGCTAACCATTAGCATTAGCAACTCCAAACGTGGCATAACTTCTTCAGGCTTGTGTTATTTGCGGAGATGAACCATCAACATTGCAGAGCAAACGGAGTCGGTGGTGGAGTTGTGTTGCTGTTAGCCAGTCAGAGGCAAGATGTCAAAACATTAGGAAATAAAACTCAAAATCCTGCCGTTTTCAGCGTTTTTAGTTCCTAAACGTCCTAATGGGCTTGTGACCCCAAAAATTACTAGGACACCCCACCCCTCTGCCAACCCCAAAAGATAGAGTTTCAGGACTTAAAGTGGGTCCTTAGCCTAACCTTTGTGAGCCACTGCCTTAAAGGAATCATTGGGCACTTTTTTTTAAATCAGACATATGCTTGGAAAATAAATTTGTGTTCTCTGTGTAATCTTGTCGTGAGATACGCAAATAAAGCATAATTCAAAAGAATAGCGTGTATAGACTAAATATTACAATCAGCGAATACTATCCCTCATTTATTTGCTGCAAAATCATAACAGGATCTCTGAGCAATACAAATTTTAATAAAATAAATAGATTTATTTAGTCATTTTCTAGGATAAAATAAGCTACAACACAAGGGAAATGTATTATTATTTTTCTCTAGAGACGGGACACAGCTTAATAATGGGTCTTTATCCATGTCAGTGAAGGACAGCCAGGTTGAAGTAATCCTGCTGGGAGGAAAGAAGAAAAAGGAGCATGTTTTTGAAAGAAAGTGCCATCTGATATCCTCTTTGGTTTACAGAAGACTACACATGCTAAAGCAGGCAAGGGATTCAGTTGATACAGTGTTTATGGCCGGAAACAAGCTCCGCCGTGCTGAAGTGATCAAATTACCAGACGGGGCATGCTTTTGCATCATGGAAATGCCCTGACTTTAATCAAGATTAAGAAAAAAAGAACGTACATTCCCTTATTTCTTTCAGGAGTGGATTTATTTTGCAACCTACCAGGCGAGTTGTAAGCAGGTTATGTAACTCTTGTTGTACGGTGCACGGTGAAGGATGCACTGTTATAGATCCAGTTCTGCTCATGTGAATGTGTGCAGAGGACTCTAGCATTAATCAGGCGAAGGGGGTAGTTCGAGAGTGAAATAGATTGAAATGAGTAATCAAGTATGGCTGGAAACAGCAAAATGTGCTGAGTTGAAGCAGAAATGATGGAGGGCAGGCACGCCCACCCAACCCCCTGCTGGTTTAACTGTACAGAGTTCTTATCCCATCAGCTTCTGGGGTGGAGCTGATGACCTCATCCTCATGATGAGTTGAATCGATAGAAAGCCGGCGTGATGCAGTGGAGTGGAGTTCTGTGTCCGTCATTCACAGTTGTTGTGTTGCCCTTATCTCTGTGAAATGGACACGTAGCTCTCTGAGTCCGTGTGTGTGTGTGTGTGTGGGTGGGTGTGTGTTTGTGTGGTCAAACGAGGCCTGTGGGCTGAGATAAGTGACTGTGCCACTGAAGAGTTTACAGAGTCCCGATGCTTCTCCCATGAATCATTTTTGTTGCTGCTCAGCAGCTTAGGTATCTTGGTAACTCAGCAGTTTGGGAGTATACGGGCTGTGTAATGGACCGAGATGGCCTTTGATAGCTGTGAGCTTCCCGGATAAGCTGCTGCTCAGACTACCGTGCAAAAAGGGCAAAAAGTCAATCATGTGTGCATTTTGGTTTAATTGTGCATCTTTATGATGCTAAAACCACCAAACAGACCTCCTGGTACCGGCTGGGTGTGTATGCTGTTTGTCTGATAGCGCTGTTTGCTCTGCAGGAGGAGTTAAAGTTTAACCAACGACTCATTAATTCAGAAGATCCTCATAAGATCATAGCATTTTCTTTGAATCTGTCAGAAGAGTTCAAATAAGTATATTTTATTACAATTTCCCTTTTCGTCTTTGATGTTTTTTATGCCATCAGAATAACTGCATGATATGCTTTTATGGGCAGATGACATCACTCTGACATATTTGCACAAGGCCTGCTCATTGGTTTGTTCTCCAAGCAAATAAAAATCAACCATTTAGCCAATCAGCGTAGAACCCAACAGTATTAATAGTGAAGGTACACTCCAGGTGAATGTTTTTTTTAATAGGAGTGCACTGGGATTTGGTATCCACCTTTTGACACTATTCGGCCCTTCTCAAATTACATGGTGGTATATGGAATAACCATCTGCTTAGATTTGTTCATTTTAGAGCTTTTTAAAACTAAAGGTTAGAGTTATTTGCAGCTTAAATCACTGATTCCAGTACAGTCTGGAGCATATCCCACAGGATTATTGGAATATTGTGCCCAGATTTTCCACCTATAAGGGTTTATGAATATTATAAATATGTTTTATTCTAACCAAAATTACATTTTGAAAAAAAAAGTTGTTTTAAGATGGCAGCAATATCCTTCGTGACCCCGCTCAGACTAGCAGTTAGCTTGTCAACTCGGTCAGAATAAAATAAGTTTTCCAAATACTATCTTAATATATTTTTATTTAGTGGCTTTCCTTTGTATTTAAATTAGTGTCTTTATTCATAAACTGTTAAGTCACTAAAAATTCACATCAGTGGAGTGTAATCTGATCCGTGGGTGAGTCCGGCTTGTTCATTTGATTTGTGGCAGAATACCTACTTTCATTCGGTGAAGAATAGACGCCAAGATATTCATTCTTCCCTCCACAGACTCTCTCTCTCTCTTGTTTTTCAGGCTAAGACACTTGAAAGAAAATCCACTTTTTCAGTAAAGCATCCTTACTTTAAGAGGATATTGTTAAATCCTTTCTGCAGTGTCAAGGTGCAAATTTCTTCTAGCCGTATTGCTCGAAATTAGTAAAAACAAACAGTGTTTTTGTTCTGAATACTCAACTAGAGGTGCATTACAAAGTAAAAAGAACATGTTCTGCTAATTTAACAACTCTGATATCTCGCAGTTATGTTACGTCTTAATGTCACTGCCTGGAAAGAAATGTGTGTGAAAAACGATGGCATCAAAGGAACCCCGCACTTGAGAGCCCAAAACAACTTTTGATGGACCAAAAACAAACAAAAAAAGTTATAAATAAAAGAGTTTAGTTTGGCTTTATGCATTATGATGAAAACTAAAATGATAAAAAAAAATACAGAATTTTTTCTATTAAAGGGCAAATTTACTCATATCTAAAATGCATCTGCACTGGTCTCTAGTAGGAACGAATGCCTTGTGTACTATGTGGAATAAACGCTCAGGTGCGCCTGTTTCAGGAACTATCAGTGAGGCAGATCAAAGCTGAGCTTCAGACAGCAGGTTCTGGACTCATATTCAGATATCTCGCCTCTGACTGGATAACAGCAACGTGACTCTACCACTGACTTTGCTCTGCAACACTGATGTTTCATCTCCACAAATGACTCAAGCCTGGAGGAGTTCTGCTGTGTGGTGGAGTTGCTAATGCTAACATTTAGCTTCTACTAGTCGCGATATTCTCTGCCGTTTTTAGGATGCCAAAGTCAAAGTCAAAAGTCAAAGTCGTTTTTATTGTCATTTCTACCACATGTGCAGGACATACAGAGAAACGAAATTGAGTTTCAGTGCACACAATACCTTAATAGATAGATGAAAAGGGTGTTACTAGAGGATAATTGGGGGTAAGGTAAAAAAAAAAAAGGCATAGCATAGTTAGACCCAGCGGGGAGTTACTATTATACAAAAAAACTCCTCGACATAGAAGCACAAACAGCACAGATACAAAACATCAGAGTCCGATGGGGAGGCGGGGTTGGGCGGGAAGCCTTTTTTCCAACAGAAGTGAAAGCATTGTGAAACAACCACAAAACGTACTTCACGGCAATTAGCCGCTGTTGTGGTGGATGGGTTTCTTTCCGTCGGCAGCAAAGTGTAACGTTTTGGAGGCTTCTCAAAAGCGAAGGGATTCTATCATTACGTTTTAAGACTTTTTTTTTTGCGTTATGCTTCAAAAATATGTCAATTTCCACAGTTTAGATCAGGCCTGACAGATAAACGTACGTGATTTCCTGTTAAACTCCGGTAGCCGATGTAATCAGAACAGAAAGCGAACCACAGACCTTTATGGATACATGCAGCTCTCTCACCTTGCTTGTTTTTGTGTGGAC